CAGGGGGGTGGCAGAGGGTGCTGTGCTGGGGTGTTGTGCCCCGTCTACAGCTCTCCATCCCCCCCCGGCAGGATCCCAGAGGCGACGGACCTCAGCACATGCCCTCAACAGGCATTCGAGCCGCAGCCACGCTCTTCTGACCATCCACATCCACAGCCGGGCCGTGAGCGCACATCCTGCTCTGGGCACATGGTGGAGGGCTTGGGAGGGGGCTGAGGCTCTTTGTGAGGGTGCAAACAGCCCCAGGGTGGTGGGGGGTCACATCCTCCTCCCCAAGGATGCATTGGAGGGGCTGGGGCAAACAGCAGGGAGCCAGATCCCAAACCCAGGCTTTGGGACACTGCTGTTGGGCCACAGAGAGGGGGCAAGGGGGGGCCAGAGCATCACCCCCCCAATGCAGGTCTCCCAGGCCAGCGCCAGCCCCAGCAAGCAGGGCACGCTGTGCTTCGTGGATCTGGCCGGCAGTGAGCGGGTGAAGGAGACCGGCTCCAGCGGGGAGCTCTCTGTGGAGGCCAACAACATCAACCGCAGCCTCCTGGCACTGGGTAAGAGCTGGGGGACCCCCCCGCCATGGGAGCACGAGCTGCTGGTCCCCACCAGAGCCCTGCTGCACCCTCTGTGGCTCATCATCTGGCAGGACACTGCATCTCTCTGTTGGCCAAACCCCAAGGGAAGCGGACACACATCCCCTACAGGGACAGCAAGCTCACCCGGCTGCTGGCCCGCTCCCTGGGCGGCTCAGGTGTCACCCTGATGGTACGTGCATGGAGGAGGCTGGGCAGAGGTGCACGGAGCTGTGGGGGGCTGGCATCTCGCCCCGTGGAGGGGAAGGCTGGAGGGGGACCGGTGAGCCCCTGGCTGGCAGCTCACCCGCAGCTATTCCTCGTTGGCAGGTAGCCTGCATCTCCCCATCCTCGCACTGCCTCTCGGAGACGCTGAGCACGCTGCACTATGCCAGCCGGGCCCGGAGGGTCACCACCAGGCCCCTGGCCAACAGGGTATAGTAGGCAGGGGCTGCAGGCAGGGGGCCCTGCCCCACTGCTGGGACTCCCCTGAGCCACCTCTTTGTGCTCCCAGGTGTCCCGGGAGAAGCTGCTGCAAACCTTGGAGGAAGAAATCCACGCCTTGCAGCTGGAAAACCTCTCTCTGCGTCAGCAGCTGTGCCTGCCCAGGGTGCCAATGAGGAGCACAGAGGTCCCAGGGACCCCCCCAAGAGCAGGGGCATGGCCGGGCTGGGGAGGCAGGTATGGCCCTGCAGGGCTGCGTCACTCCCCCCTTGAAGCGCAGCTCCCATCGGAGGGAGCCCCAGCCTGGCCCAGCCTCTACGGCCTCTTGCGGGACTTTGTGGTGGAGAACGAGCAGCTGAGGTACGGGGGGTATGCACAGGACCTATAAGTAGGGTGGCTCAAGGGGCTAATGGGGCAGCCAGAGCCCCTGGCCGGGCAGCATCCTGTGTCCCCCGGCCTCTCGTAGGGACTCCCTGGGCCCAGGCAGGGCTCAGAGTTTCACCAGAGGCTGCCAATGCCCTGCCCTGCTCCCTCACTGCTCCCCAGGCAGCCCAGGCTGTCCCCAGACCCCAGCAGTGATGCCCTAGCTGGCCCATCCCGTCCCCCGGTTTCCAGTGAGTGCAGGAGGTCCTGGGCTCCAGCGGCATCCTCACGTGGGGCTGTGCCCACAGCAGGGTGAGGATGCACAAACCACCCACCCACTGCTGTCCCTTCTTGCAGAAGCAGCCTTCTGCCTCTGGCTGCCCCAGCTGCCTGGGGTGCCCCCAGTCCTGCCCCGGGCTGCCCGATGCCATCATGTCCCAGGTATGGGCCCAGGGTTCTCTTTGGAGGGGGGTGGCACAGCGTGGCACAGCAGCCTGACTGCTCTGCTCACCCCCCAGGCACTGCGAGGGCCCCCTGTGCCGCAGCCGGTGTCCGCTGAGGGAAGCACCAGTGTCCTGCCACCTGGCCAGGAGGACGCGTCTCTGCCCAGCTCCCATCAGCTCGCCGCGCACCCCCAGCCGCAGCAGGGGAAGCGGTGAGAGCCAGGGACTGAGTCCGCCCTGCTGGGCAGCTCAGGAAACCCCTGGGATTACAGGGGGGTGGGTGGCAGGGCAGCGGGTAAGGGTTCGTTCATGTGTCCTCACACCAGGAGCCGGGGCAGGAGCAGGAGCTCATCCCAGTGGCACCCGCTCCCCCGGGAGCTGCCGGGGCCCAAGCGCTGTCCCAGTCCTGAGGGAAGGGTCATCCCTTCAGCACCACCGTGGCCGGGATTGCCGGAGCCGAGAGGTGAGCAGGGTGGCTGGGGGGACACTGGGCAGTGCCTCAGATGGGGTCCCTCGGCGTTGGGCACCTGTTCTGAGCCCAGCCACTCACCCATGGGGCTGCGGACCTGATGCTGGGGACACTGGAGACCTGACCCTGCTGGCTCCCGGC